TAGAGCCATGCGGCAGCTTTGGGCCGTATTCAGTGCTCTCCTGACGGTCAGGACTGACGTCAGTCTGCCGTAGCTATCGCCATAGAAACCATGCGTGCATTCAGAGCAGCACTGACCGCGTCCGCATACGCAATACTGACAGAGACGGTCAGTCGAGCGCGTCGGTGCTGCGAACGTCAGGTGACTGACGCGCTATGCAATGCTTCAGAGCATTTAGTGCGTTGCGGAAGCGGGACTCGAACGGACGTTAGCGTGTACAATCATGTCGAAACATAACATCGACACTGAACGTGTGATAACAGAAGTTCGAATAAGACCACCTTTGTGGGATCTATCTCACGATTTATTCAAAGATAAAGATGCCAAGCTTCAAGCATGGCTTGGAGTGTATAAAGCTCTTTTGCCCGATTTTAATGATTTGTCTGAGAATGATAAAAAAGACTTTGGTAAGTAAAAAAATGTGTTTATTAAAAATATTTTTTATTGAATATACAAGTATCTAAATAATAACAATCAAAATATAGAATCATCTTGCCACGGAATTGCGCCAACTTCAGAAACAAAGTAATTAGCAAATTTATCTCTCAAAACATCACCGGATCTGACAACCGAGATGTTGTTAGTGTTGGTATTATTTTGAAATCCTTCAATAGTTAGCGTATCCTCAAATTTATAGCCATCTCTTTCTCTAATGTAGTTGTGCAAAATACAACAGGTTTTAACAAGTTTAATAGCATTCGGCAGTGAGTGATTTATTGAGCGTTGGAATATTTTAAATTTATTGGACATTATTCCAAACGTCGATTCAATGTACCTTCTCGCCCGACTTAATCTATAATTAAATATTTTCTTTTTATGTGTCATATTGCTGCGAACATAAGGTCTTAAGACTTTATTCGATATTCCAAACGCTCCATCGCCTATTAGCACATATGGCATTGGTTCAGTGGTATTAGGTAATGGCTTAGCACTTGGTAAATTTAGTTCTCCATTATGTAATTTTGTGTACAAACTAGTATTCTTGAAAATTGTTGAATCAGAGTCTGACCCACACGAACCAACATGTATATATGTAAAACGATACTCTGAATCACACATTGCTAGTAGATTGATGGAAAAATGCTTCTTGTAATTTAAAAATAAGCTACCGCTCTTTTCGGGACAAACAATTCTCACGTGTTTGCCATCTAGGCATCCTACACAATTCGGAAAGTTGGCAACCTGCTCAAATCCTGAAGCAATTTTAAGCCAATCTTCAGGGAACCTAGGGAGCGAAAGACATTCACTGTGAAGCACATTCCAAATAGTCAGGCAAACTTCTCGAACAATGAGACAAATAGTTGATTTGCCAAGTTGATAACTGAAATGTAAGTCCGAAAACGTTTGTCCAGTTCTTAAGTACCTGGAACAAAAAACACAATTTTTTTTATTTATTATTTACAGAAAAAAGTGTACAACAAAGATGGAGAACTGCGAGAGATGCTTACATGAGATGCAAAAAATTCTATGAAATCTGTGAAATCGGGATCGGAAGGCGGAAAGAGAACCAAATACGTATTTTTCAAACATTTACAGTTTCTTGACAAAAAAACATGTTGCCGACACCGAAGATTCTATTGAAGAAAATGAAACAAGAGAAGATACACAACAAGATTCAAATTTAGAGTCTCCAATCAATCCACGTTCTACTGAAACAGTATCCACCAATCCAGAAACCCAACCACAGTGTTCCAGCCAAGTTAGACAAGATTCTTCAAACACAACTAAACAATCTAGCTCTACTCCTAACACAAACCCATCAAGGAAGCGTAAAAACGCAAAAACTAATGAAGACAGCTACTTCGATAAAAACATCTTGGAGTTTTTAACAAAAAACAGCGAAATTATTCAAAATGACGATATGGCATTTTTTTATTCTCTTTTACCTTTAACACGGACATTCGACAATCGTCAAAAAGTTATGTTCCGTAATGCAGTAATGAATAAAGCCCTGGAAATTTGTAACTGCCCTTCGTCTATCACTCCTCTTGCTTCACCAATGTATGCATCTACCTCTCGCCCTGAATCTTCTACTTCCAGCATGAATATAGCATCACCAGAATCTCTACCATCAGGATCTCAAGACATAGTTTTGTATTCAGTTGAAGAACCTTCGTCTCAAAATGTAGTGAGAACTAATCCAAATATCGCACATACATCACAAAATTCGGTAATCACATCTTTGTCTGCTTCCAGCTTCAATATACCATCACCAGGATCTCGAGACATAGTTTTGTATTCAGTTGAAGAACCTTCGTTTCAAAACGTAGTGACAACTAATCGTAATTTCGCTTATACGAGCACATCACAAAATTTGGAAAACCCATCATCTGATTTGTCTCAGTATATTAATTTTAAGCAATGACTGACAATCACATGATACTGATAATACTGATTGCATTCCCTAAATTACTTAACTGATTGTATTACCTAAATTACTTATTAAACTTATTAAACTTAGCACATAAACATGTTTAATTTGCCTATTTCATATTTAAAGGTCTCTAATTTCATATTTAAAAGTACTCTATGTAAGGGTGCCAGCCATTCTACCCATCAATTTTATCCAACAAAAAGAGAAAGCTGACTTTTATGTTGATATTATTAGAAAAATGCACTGATATTTTGATCAAAGAAATTTGATGAGTGGAATAGCACCCGACTACGAAAATATTTTCGATTTTATCTTACCTCAATGTCACAGCAAGTCTTTCAACGGGTCGTACTGGAATCCTAAACATGTTATGATGTTTAATATGATCCTGAATTCTTGCCAGCAGTTCATCAAAACTTTTTGCTGACATCCCAAAATAATCAGAGAATTTTTCATTATAATTTCTAAGTTTTGAAAACAGAGTACTGAATTCTCCTTCAAGTAGCCTGTTAGCAATAACTGGATGTACGTGATATCTTCTTCGTTTTTTTTTCATTCGTAATCGCCTCAAATAGTAAAGAGTAATTAAACAATTTATAAACGGATACATCACGACTATACCCTGCTGTTCCGTACGGTGGTCAGTGGAGCACTGAATGCATAAAGCCGACTGACGGTCAGTGCGTGCGTACGCACTGACCGTCAGTCCCGACCGTCAGGAGAGCACTGAATACGGCCTTGCTGTTGCACGTATGGGCCGGCTCAAACCGGGGTGGTACCACGACCTCACAGAATACCGGCGTGAAGTGGAAGCTCTGCTTCCGCGTTTCGTCTGGTGAGTGCAGGTGGCCGGAGGCCCAAATCCCCCCCCCCCCCATCAACATGGTAGCGGAATTAAATAATGATAGACTACCCCAGGAGGGTACCAGCACCCCTGGAGAATCCCTCGCTGAGCATCTACGACCATATTTCTCCACTTCTGAGCGTGGGTGCTCAGGCTGCCCCGCGTATTCTGGGGGGGGGGGCAAATTCCGCCCAAGACTACAACTGCTCGGGGCAAACGGAGCAACAAGACCAAGGCGCCCCTGCCACGCGGTCCGTGAATTTCTGTGATATCAGGGGACTTCACTCTAACCTAAAAGCCGTCCACTACCATCTCGAGACGGCGAGGCCGGCTCTGTTCTTTCTGACCGAGACGCAGGTGTCCTCTCTGACTGATGTCTCGTATCTTTCCTACCAGGAGTACAAACTGGAACGCTCCTTTGTGCCTCGGGCTGGAGTTTGCGTTTACGTCAGAGAGGACATCTGTTCTCGTCGACTCGGCAAACTTGAAGATTCGGACCTGTCCATCCTTTGGCTACGCATAGACAGCGACGACCATCCGCGCGTTTATAGGTCCCATAGCGGTAATGCCGAAACAGACCGACTCTTCGACCACGTCCAAATGGCTACAGATTCGTTGCTACAGAAGATCCCCTCCGCAGAGATCGTGATCCTCGGCGACTTTAACGCCCATCACGCCGAATGGCTTGGTTCTGATCTGTTCATGATTTTGCCTTGGCATATGGTCTGACACAACTGGTTATTTCGCCTACGCGGATTCCAGATGTGGAGGATCATGCACCTTCCCTGTTGGACCTTCTGCTGACCTCTCACCCGGACGGATATCAGATTTCCGTCGAAGCCCCTTTAGGCTCCTCGGACCATTGTCTTGTCCGAAGTGTGGTGCCACTCACGCTGAAATCCCAGTTGCATTCTGCAGGCTGCCGTCGTGTTTGGCACTATAGGTCAGCCGATTGGGATGGGATGCGGTCTTTCTTTGCATCCTACCCTTGGGGGCGGGTTTGCTTCTCGCCGGACGATCCCAACGTTGTTGCGGATTCTGTCGCTGATGTACTGGTAACTTAATGGTACTTCAGGGTATGGAACTTTTTATTCTTTCCTCTGTGTTACCCATTGGAGGCAAATCTCAGTCATGGTTTGGTTGGTCCTGTAAAATAGCATCATGCTATAAGCAGGAGTGCTACCGAGCCTGGGCTGACGCATCAGCGTCCCGGGATGTAAACACCAGCGCTATAAAAAAGAAGGATATTTCCGCCTCTAGGTCCATCAAAAGAGTCATTGCCAAGGCAAAGTCGGAGCACATAGGCAAAATTAGCGAGAAACTAGTTCGCCTTCCTTCTGGAATCCGTGCATTCTGGTCTCGCCAAGGCTGTCCAGGGGAATTTCTGTCAGCCATCTCTTCCATCTCTGCGCAGGGAGGACGACTCCCTGGCCCATACCGCAAAGGAGAAAGCCGATCTTCTAGGCTCTTTCTTTGCGTCCAACTCGACTCTCGATGACGGGGAGGTACGCCGCCGACCATCCCGCGGTGTGAGTGCTCCATGCCGGAAGTGCAGTTCACACAGCGCTCGGTTCGCAAAGCACTCCTCTCCCTGGACATCCACAAGTCGAGTGGGCCTGACGGAATCCCCCCAATTGTGCTGAGGACGTGTGCTCCAGAGTTGGCGCCGATTTTTAACGCGTCTTTTCCGGTACTCTTACTCCCTAGGCGTAGTCCCAAAGTCATGGAAGACGGCTTTCGTCCACCCGATCCCTAAAAAAGGCGACCGCTCAGACCCGTACAACTACCGGCCTATCGCCATCACCTCCTTGTTCTCCAAATCAATGGAGTCCATTGTAAACTGCCAGCTCATGAGGTGCCTTGAGGATCACCAGCTGAATAGTGACCGCCAATACGGTTTTCGCCGTGGTCGGTCAGCTGGTGATCTTCTGGTCTACCTAACTCACAGATGGGTGGAGGCAGTAGAGTCCAAGGGGGGAGGCATTGGCCGTTAGTTTGGACATTGCGAAGGCCTTCGATCCGGTTAGACACAAAGCACTTCTTTCGAAGCTCCCTTCCTATGGGCTTCCCGAGAAATTGTGCGATTGGATCACCAGCTTTCTTGCAAATCGGAGCATCAAGGTCGTTGTAGATGGTGCAAGCTCCAATTGCAAGCCTATTAATGCTGGTGTTCCACAAGGCTGCGTGCTATCGCCAACGCTGTTTCTTCTGCTTATCAATGATATGTTCAAACCCGTAACATTCATTGCTATGCAGATGACAGCACTGGTGATGCTCTTTACACCGGCCGAGCCAATATTTCTCGGGAAAACGTTTCCGAGTGCCAGTACAAACTTGTGTCTGAAGTTGAGTCTTTGTTGAACAGAGTCTCAGATTGGGGGCGACTAAATCTAGTCCAGTTTAACCCCCAGAAGACACAAGTTTGCGCATTAACCGTTAAAAAGAACCCCTTTGTCGTATCTCCTCAGTTTCAAGGCACTCCCCTTGTTGCCTCAGCCAGTATCGGAATCCTCGGCGTTGACATATCGAGTGACGTGCAGTTTCGTGGTCACTTGGAAGAGAAGGCCAAATTGGCCTCTAAAAAGCTTGGCGTGCTCAGCAAAGCGGGACAGTATTTCATGCCGGCACACCGCCTGCAACTTTACAAGGCGCAGGTTTGGCCGCACATGGAATACTGTTCCCATCTCTGGACTGGGGCTCCCCAGTACCAGCTCCTTCCACTTGACCGCATCCAGCGCAGAGCAGCTCGAATCGTCGACGACCGAGTGCTTTCCGATCGGCTCGATTCACTGGCACTGCGAAGAGATGTTGCATCTCTTTGCATTTTTTTCGCATATACCGTGGAGAGTGCTCTGAGGAATTGTTCGGATTAATCCCAGCCGCCAAATTTCGTGAACGTACTACGTGGCAAACGTCCCTATACCATCTACACCATCTGGATGCTTGGCGGTCCACCACAGTACGTTTCAAAAGGAGTTTTCTTCCACGTACAACCTCTCTGTGGAATAGTTTACCACCGGCGATTTTTCCGGATCGATACGACCTGGGGACCTTCATGAAAAGAGCTTACTCTTTTCTAAAGGGCCGGCAACGCACCTGCAATTCCCCTGGTGTTGCGGTTGATCATGGGCGGCGGTAATCACTTGACATCAGGTGAGTTGAATGCTCGTTTGCCCCCTCTTCTATAAAAAATGGAGATCTCTATGGGTCAGAGCATCCACTTACCATCAATTGGATCTCTCGTTTCCTCCTTTGTCACTACCTTACACTTTATTCTATAAAAAGGTACGTTTTATTAGTTCTCCCTAAATTTTTAAACCATATTAAGTAAATTGTGTGAATTTTTTTAACTAAGTATATTAAGTAAATTGTATTGACATCAGTCCCCCGTGACCATACAACTCCCACTAACATCTCAGTTTAGTTATACCGTACCGTTATTACGCACCCCTTTCATTACCTCATAGCCACACCCCTTTCATTGCCGCACGGGCATATTTGCCATAGTTGCCACGCTTGACATTCAGGTTGGCAATCGCTGTTTTTTATTTTTTATTGTTATTAAGAAAACGCTGCTGCCCATATCCTGCTTTGTTTCCTCTGTGGCCTGTGGCGACAATAATTGTAACTTTTTATATTACTTTATGCAAAATAATAGCAATAAACTAAAATATACAACATACATAGCGTCTGTTTTATTAACGTCAAGAATTCTTCACAATAAAGTCTTTATTGGATCGTATCCATAAATGACAATATACACAGCAGATGCAAATTACGTTAGCTGCAGCCGCAGGACTTAAAAAAAACCAATTCTTAAAATATAAATTTATTAAAGAAAGATTACAATACTTTTATAACTAAAACTAAAATGATTAACTTGGTCGAAGTGTGACCGAAGAATGGCGAAATCCGATGCGAACTTGCAACGGGCGTCGGATTGTCGGCGCCTGCTGACTCGGCGCCTCCTGACACGCGGCTCCGTCATGTGCACCTTTAAGTAGGTTACATGCTAGGCGATTTTCGTGTAGTGAAACTACGTAATTCCTCCCCCCACAGATCAGCGACTATTTTCCGACTTTGAGGGAAAATGTTGCTGGATATGCTTTTGCGTTTTTGGGATCTTCACAGGAATGCTTTCCAGGTG